CCCCACCCCCCAGCCTGAGGCACAGTGACCCTCGGGTTAAACTACCAACAGCTGTCTCTGTCTAGAGCGGGAGCAGCCTTATAGTGTGGTAGGACGATGGTGACCAGGAGGACAATGGACATTACATTGTTCCTTCACCCCCTTCTTAGTGAACCTTTCCTTGCCATTTTAAGAACCCACTCATTGACCTCTCACCCAAAGGTCCTATTAAACAGTGTCCTTCATTTTGTTACTTCATAATTTTTTTTTTCATTTAAAAATCCAGTAATTTTTAAATCCAAGAAAATGTCACAAATAAATTCTATTAGGAATTCAGGAGAAATGATAACGAGAAAGCAGAATTCGGGAGAAATATCTTTATCTTTATGCATGATGTGGAATTGCTACCATAGTTGAAGTGAAGAATGAATTCCTTGAAGGGGGAACTGGATAAACATTGGAAACTAACAAAAACCAGAAACATTGGGACAAGAATTGGCACAACCAGTGAAGGAAGCATGGCAACAAACTGACAAAGAGCTTAGCCAAGGAAATAGATGTGAAACAATGTTGAGTTCACAGAGGATTAGGACTGGAAGAGTTTACAGAGACACTGAGAGATGCAGCCATGGATTATCTGAGGCTCAGGATCCTCATGAGTTGGACAAAATATGTATCATTAAGTAATGTAATAACCTCTACTCATTCGTCACTAGTGAGTGAAAAATATAGCCTACCCATATTAAATGCCCAAAATAATTGTTTTTATTTCTGTCTTTTGCAAGAATTTCCTGTGCTGATGAGTCATGTCTTGTGTCTCATCCAAATCCTTTGATGAAAGCAAAATGCTGGCAATCTGAAACAAACAGAGAATGCTGGAGAACCTCAGAGAGAGAAACAGAGTTAAAGTTTTGAGTCCATTATGACTCTTCTTCAGAAAGTCCTTTGAAATATTAACTGTTTGTTGCTCCACAGATGCTGCCAGACTGGCAAAGCAATTTTTATCTTTAGTTGCGCTTACTGGACTTATAAAAAGTTACATATGATTATATTGATGTTGGGGGAAAAAGTAAAGCATATGTCATTATACTGGCATTGAATGAGGTGAGTTCTAGCAACCCCAGCCCCACTCTCCATTAGAGTAGGATATTGGTGTAGATAGAGAATTGGTCAATGTGCAATTAATTGGTAAACAGCAAGTGGTGATAAGAGGTTTCTTTTTCAGGTAGGTACATAGTCCCATAGGGATCAGTGCTGGGACCAGAACTGTTTATAACATATATTAGGGGAGGATTGGATAAAGGAACCAAATGTGCTGTAGCCAGATTTGCAGATGACACAAAAATGGATGGAAAAACCGGTTGAGAGCAGGATACAAACAACTTGCAGGTATTGACCAGTTAAGTAAGTGGCCAAAAAAGATGCTAAATGGAGTATAATGTGGGAAAATGTGAAGTTGTTAACTCTGGAAGGGAGAACAATAGAGCAAAGTATTATTTAACTGGAAAACAAAACTGCAGAAAGCTGCAATTAAACAAAACTTGGGGTTACTTGTACATGAAACACAGAAAGTTAGCACACAGGTTCAGTAGGTAATCAGGAAAGCTAATGGAATGTTGGCCCTTATTTCATGGGGTTTGGAGTATAAGAGTAAGGAAGTCTTACTGCAACTGTACAAGGTGCTGATGAGACCATATCTGGAGTGCTGTGAACAGTTTTAGTCCCCTTATTTGAGGAAAGATATCATTTCATTGGAGACAAATCAGAGCAGTTTCACTAGGATGATCCCGGGTATGGCTGGATTGTCTTATGGGGGCAAAGGTTAAACAGGTTGGGATTCTATTAATGGAGTTTAGAAGAATGAGAGGTGGTCTTATTGAAATATATAGGATTCTTAAGGGGCTTGACAGGGTAAATGCTGAGAGGGTATTTTCCCTCCTGGGAGAGTCTAGGACCAGAGGACATAGTCTCAGAATAAAGGATCACCCAGTTTAAGACTGAGATGAGGGGGAATCTGTCCTCGGAGGGTTGTGAGTCTTTGGAACTCGTTGCCACAGTAAGCTGTGGGGGCAGAATCCTTGTGTATATTTAAGGCTGAGATTCCTGATCAGTCAGGGAGTCAAAGGTTACAGGGAAATGCAGGAAAGTGGGCATGAGGAACGTCTGATCAACCATGATTCTGATGGCCTACTCCTGTTCCTATTTCTTATGGATGGCCTTATGCTCCGAGGAGATAATTTCAAATGATTCTGCAATCTAGGTATCTGTCATTTATTCAACTTAACAAATATCCTAAAAAGAAATTCAGAGTTCGTGCAAGGAGGTGCCTGGATCTTTGAGAATTGGGCACAAAAACATCTCAGATGCTTAATTCCTTGTTTGTTTCCATGTTTTTCCATCACTCTTGAACCTGTAACTACCAGCAGCAGCTTTTTTAATGAGAGAAAGCATACACAGGTAGTATTTGGATGACCTTGCCTCCCTCTTGGGTTTGCTGGGATTCAAATTGGGTTATCATCGGGACCAGTCGAGATAGTCATTGCCCAGAAACCACGGCTGTGAAATGGTCATGAATATTTGTAGTAAAATATTACTGAATAATGAGTCGCTTGGAAATTAATCCCAGATTTCAAATTGAATATTTAGAGAATTATGTGTTTGCATTGTCCCTGAATGTTTAAATATTTCTCTTTTGAAGGTAATATATTTTTAAACAGGTCCTGAAACTATGGATACAGTTTATTGCCCTCCCCTATGGTGGGTTTGGTGGTTGGGAGGGCATTCATTCGAATGGGAAGGTAATGGGTGTGAATACTGCCACCTTCTCATTTCCATCCTGAGGAGTCCATGGTGGGACCATCCACGAGCATTATTCCCCTCCCACTGTCCATTGAACGTCTACTTAAGGGTCACATCCTATTAACTGCTGTGATTAAACCAACAGTGGCTGGGTCGGGGTTTGTAATGTAGGAAGTGGAGTGCTGGAGGGTTCTCTTGTTTTAAATCCATCCAGTTCCTGATCAAAGAACCAGGCATCGTGAAAGGTGGAGTCCACTGAGATTCCCCCACCGCCCCCGCCACCCAACCCGCCTGCCTGCAAAACCCATACTGTCAACCATCCACTTTGCCTCCTTCTCTTTTAGCCACCTTCCCATCCCGTGCTCAGGCTTCTCTTCAGTCCAAGGCCTCAGGTTGGTGTAGACCCAGCAGCAGATGACACTGTCAAGTCCAGAAGAGGTACTAGCCTCTCAGTGACCAGCAGCTCTCAGTAGGCCAGACCTCTGCAGCCAGGGGTTTTGATCTTGGTGAAAACCCATACTGAATGTGCTATGGCACCAACCACTACCATCTAATGGTTGGGCTAGAGTGCAGCTACTAATATCTTCCTTCTTGTTCTTTTTGATTGAATGCTAATGGTTTAGACTGTCCTCAGCAGGGTGCTGGAATAATAAATCAAGAAGTCAATTATCAGAATTAAATCAAAATATCATTATCAGGGGTCATGATGCACCCCAGTCCCTAAGGGGCCTGCCAATTCTTTCTAAAAGAGTTTTAAGGCATTCATTGGGATAACTGTGGTAGACAATTAACTGAGAAGAGGTACTTGCCTTGACAAGATATGGTTTATTGCATGACAGCAATAGGTACAGGTTACACTTGTTTATTAAGACTAACCAGGAGCCAATGAAGGCACATCAGTCTCCATTGGGATTTTGAGCTGGACCCTTCCTTTCCTCATCCAAGGTTGCATTAGATTGAGTGAAGCTGAATGCAGTTTACCACATTAATCCTTTCAGAACCATTATTCCTTATATAACAGAACCCTGCCAGCTGGTGGGCATTGGCATACCTTCCCTAAAAGGGGTAACGTGGGGGAATCCTGTTTTAGCCCTGCAGGCAGCAGGCAAGGTCCCCATCCCCTCCAACAACCAGCCTGAGTTTCTTACTACGATTTGGTGTGAAGGACGAGATGAACTTTGTCCCATGACATAGTCACAGATTCTATGTCAATGTCGTATTAAAAAAATTCACCCACGTCTATAGTAAAAGATCGAATTTCCATCAATCATGTTTGTCATTAATTGTTAAAGGTCTTTCAAATAACTTAAGTCAACTTATTCTTAATTTCCAGTAATTTCCTGCAGTCAGATGTTGGGCTAACTGTCTATAACTATCTCCAGGTTTCTATTTTTCATCTTGCATAAATAGAAGTGCAAATCATGAGAAGCTAGGACTATGATAGTTAGGGTGTCTGCAATACTCTCATCTCCCTTTAGACATCTGGGATAGGAACCATATGGTGTTGGCAGAGCCTTGGGTCCCATGAGGCTGCAACAAACAACGTTGTTACATTGCTACAAAACTTTGTTTTGTTTCCTTTCCTTCCCTTCCTCATAGCATTGAGTGCTCTATATCTTTTCACATGTTTGTTGTCAAATGATAAATAAGCCTATAATCAAAAATTATTGATTTAACTTGTGACACTCAGAACTTTCACCTGCATTTTAGTTTGGATCAGTAGGTTGTGAGGGAATAGAATTAAATGTTTGTATTTAGAGCTGATCAGCTGTACCAATTTGTTTATCCATCAAGGTTAAAAGCAAAGCAACTGTCAATCCAGAGCAAAGGCCTGAATGTGTATAACCTGCGCCGTGCAACTGAGCACTTACGGATTGGCCAGCTGAAAGGAAACCATTTCAGCATCATCATCAGAAATGTCAGCAAGCACCAGGAAGATGATCCTAACACGAGTCTTGCTGATCAAGTGTTTGAAGCAATTGAGAATGTCAAGGTGAAGACCCTTAAAGTGTTGTTGCATCATAAACGTTTGACCAAGTGGTTGTTTTCAGAGGAGGAAATGGAGAGTTAGATCCTGTAGCACACATCCCAACGTTGGGTAGCATATTAATGTTCAAGTATTGACAATGCTGTTATTTTTGACTTTCCTTCTGCATGTGGAGCCAATCTTCTATTACAGGTGGTTCAATGTACCTTCACTGTCATCTTCAGACAGTTTGAGTTGCCCGCAAAGTGTTGAGTGAATCTGTCATAGCCATCAATCTATGTGCAAGGCTCCAAAGAATGAACCGGTCTGTTGATGGGCTGAAAACTGCATTCGGACTGTACTTGCATGTTGCTAAAAGGAAACACAACGTGGAAGCTTTTTGTTTTGCCCTCATCAGGAGCAGGGAGCAAGAAACCAGATCTGGAAAAATTAACACCAATTTATATAGTGTCAGAAGTGGGTATTGATTGGTTGGGCCATCGTTGGCATGGTGATGTAGCAATAACAGTAAACTGTCATTCTTAGATCTCAAGCCAGGCAGGTAGATTCTGATTCATCAGGGTTGTGTTGTCCTGGAAATACAACAGTAAACGGTCCTGGAAATACAACAGTAAAC